GTTTCCTTAATAAAGATACCCAAGAGTTGTACATGTGTCTAATTTATCAACGTGTCGGTTCTGTGAACCATTCATCCATATTTTTGTTGTTTAACTCTGGTCTCAAGAGACTTGCCAGTAGGTTGTGTATACACAACCTACTGATTCCTTGGGAGAATTTTTAATCAATTTTTGTTTTACGGTATTGCCACATTTAATGCCAACTTTAACATTAAAAGTATGACAAAATCGTATAACAAAAATTAATTAAAAGCAAAAATTAATTTAAAATTCGGAATGGTTGAAGTTCCTTTGTATGTCGGGACGCCAGTAACACTGACACCTTGACATGTATTCCCTGGAATGCAGGCGAGAAAGATGCATGATAATATACACTTGGAAAATCCTAGAGGGATTAGTACCAGATCTGCACACGAAAATCACTCCCTACAAGAGCAAAAGATAAGATTTTCTTCGGATTTTTAACCCCGGAGGGTTAGCGACCCAGAATAACCCAAGTCAGTGCCTCATCTGTCTAACTTATTTCCATTGGGGTCCTCAATCTTGTCAACCAGGATGCGACCCACACCAGTCGACTAACACCCAGGTACCTATTTGCTGCTAGGTGAACAGGGCAACAGGTGTAAGGAAACGCGTCGAAATGTTTCCACCCGCAGAAAATCGAACCTGGGCCCTCCGTATGTGAAGCAAGAACTTTAGCCACCAGGCCACCAGATGGTGCAACATCCCCCAAATGAAAAGCAGGGGCTCCACAAGTACAATAAGAGAGAACACAATAAGTGTCAGGAGCTCAAGACTGCTCAAATGCCTCCTAACATACATAAGGGGGATTACCAGTAAACCCCTGGCTGTCTTCAAGAAGGTGCTACACAGGCACCTAAATTCAGTACGTCGGTTTACGTACGCTCGTACGTCGGTTTACATGCGACCAGAAGTAACAGCCTGCTTGATCAGGCCCAGATCCACCACGAGACCTGGTCACAGACTGGGCCATGGGATGGACTTCGAACAGGCGATAAATGACATGCCCATGCACTCTGCCCCAGGGCCAGACTCATGGAACTCAGTGTTCATCAAGAACTGCAAGAAGCCCCTATCACGAGCTTTTACCATCCTATGGTGAGGGAGCATGGACACAGGGGTCGTCACACAGTTACTAAAAACAACAGACATAGCCCCACTCCACAAAGGAGGCAGTAAAGCAATAGCAAAGAACTACAGACCGATAGCACTAACATCCCATATCATAAAAATCTTTGAAAGGGTCCTAAGAAGCAAGATCGCCACCCATCTAGATACCCATCAGTTACACAACTCATGGCAACATGGGTTTAGAGCAGGTCGCTCCTGTGTCTCAGCTACTGGATCACTACGACAAGATCCTAGATGCACTAGAAGACAAAAAGAATGCAGATGTAATAAATACAGACTTTGCAAAAGCCTTCAACAAGTGTGACCATGGTGTAATAGTGCACAAAATGCGTGCTAAAGGAATAACAGGAAAGGTTGGTAGATGGATCTATAATTTCCTCACAAACAGAACACAAAGAGTAGTAGTCAACAGAGTAAAATCTGAGGTGGCTACGGTGAAAAGCTCTGTTCCACAAAGCACAGTACTCGCTCCCATCTTGTTTCTCATCCTCATATCTAACAGACAAGGATGTCAGCCACAGCACCGTGTCTTCCTTCGCAGATGACACCCGAATCTGCATGGCAGTGTCTTCCATTGCAGACACTGCAAGGCTCCAGGCAGACATCAACCAAATTTTTCAGTGGGCTGCAGAAAACAATATGAAGTTCAACGATGAGAAATTTCAATTACTCCTATATGGTAAACATGAGGAAATTAAAACTTCATCAGAGTACAAAACAAATTCCTTTCACAAAATAGAGCGAAAAACCAACGTCAAAGACCTGGGAGTGATCATGTCGGAGGATCTCACCTTCAAGGACCATAATATTGTATCAATCGCATCCGCTAGAAAAATGACAGGATGGATAATGAGAACCTTCAAAACTAGGGATGCCAAGCCCATGATGACACTCTTCAGGTCACTTGTTCTATCTAGGCTGGAATATTGCTGCACACTAACAGCATCTTTCAAGGCAGGTGAAATTGCTGACCTAGAAAATGTACAGAGAACCTTCACGGCACGCATAACGGAGATGAAAAAAAACCTCAATTACTGGGAGCGCTTGAATTTCCTGAACCTGTACTCCCTGGAACGCAGGCGGGAGAGATGCATGATTATATACACCTGGAAAATCCTAGAGGGACTAGTACCGAACTTGCACACGAAAATCACTCACAACGAAAGAAAAAGACTCGGCAGACGATGCAACATCCCTCCAATGAAAAACAGGGGTGTCACTAGCACATTATGAGACAATACAATAAGTGTCAGGGGCCTAAGACTGTTCAACTTCCTCCCAGCATACATAAGGGGGATTACCAATAGACCCCTGGTTGTCTTCAAGTAGGCACTGGACAAACACCTGAAGTTGGTACCTAACCAGCCTGGCTGTGGCTCGTACATTGGATTGCGTGCAGCCAGCAGTAACAGCCTGGTTGATCAGGCTCTGATCCACCAGGAGGCCTGGTCACAGACCGGGCCGCGGGGGCGTTGACCCCCGGAACTCTCTCCAGGTAAACTCCAGGTATACTCCCTCTCCAGATATACTCCAGATTGTGTATACTCCATCCTAAGTAGACGATTAAAGCGTCATTGGTTCTCAAGAAGTTGGACAATTTCACCTGTAGTGCGGTCGTCAGGAGTGTGGCCAAGGTCCTCTTCGACGAGTCAGAGACTGACCCACGAAGTGGGCGAAGGTGCACAGGGTGCGTCCTGTCATGGGTAACACGACTGCAAACAAATCACGGAATGGGTGAGGGTTGAACCATTGGTAAGAGAGAGAGAAAACTCAAAGGCCACCTGGACCAGTGGTTAACGAACTGGCCTGAGAGTCTTATCACTCGCTTGCCTTGGTCTTAAACCCCACCCGTTCCCTGATATGAGCGAGAGTTTTAAAGGGTAGATGTAAGAGTGGGATGGCCCAATAAAGCAATAAAAATTACTTTCCTTAGTGACTATACAGTGCCTGAGGAATGGAAGGTAATCATACTTGATCCAAAGAGTAGGAGCAGCTCTTCTTCCTTGAATTAGGGGGCTTTAGAGGCATCACTTAATCACGTTTTGTCAAAAACACGAAGTATATAAATTTCGGTGTCTCCGCTTAATCATAAAGTCATCATTTTCTGTTATAGGCAATAGAAAACTTTTATTCATGTACAACTAAAGAATTCTTAAAGATATGATAAGTTCAAATCAAATCCTTTATTTTCTTGTACAGTACAATGTGTAGTTTACATGTAATAAAATATTGTCCACCACAAAGAAACCCCTTAGAATGCATGGAATTTTTAACCCGGAAGGTTAGCCACCCGGGATAACCCAAGAAAGTCAGTGCATCATCGAAGATAAGATAAGATTTCGTTCGGATTTTTAACCCCGGAGGGTTAGCCACCCAGGATAACCCAAGAAAGTCAGTGCGTCATCGAGGACTGTCTAACTTATTTCCATTGGGGTCCTTAATCTTGTCCCCCAGGATGCGACCCACACCAGTCGACTAACACCCTCTTATTTCCATTGGGATCCTTCAGTATTTTCACCCAGGATGCAACTCACCGGTCGACTAACACTCAGGTACCTACTTACTGCTAGGTGAACAGAGGTAGTGTGTGCAAGGAAACAAAAGTCCAGCATTTTCCCTTGAACTGAGGCCTGGCTGTCTTCAAGCAGGCACTGGACGAGCACCTGAAGTCGGTACCTGACCAGCCGGGCTGTGGCTCGTACATTGGATTGCGTGCAGCCAGTAGTAACAGCCTGGTTGATCAGGCTCTGATCCACCAGGTCTGGTCACAGACCGGGCCGCGGGGGCGTTGACCCCCGGAACTCTCTCCAGGTAAACTCCAGGAACCAGGCCCGGTGGCCTGGTGGCTAAAGCTTCCGATTCACAAACGGAGGGCACGGGTTCGATTCCCGGCAGGTGAAAACATTTTGACACGTTTCCTTACACTTGTTGTCCTGTTCACCTAGCAGCAAGTAGGTACCTGGGTGTTAGTCGACTGGTGTGGGTCGCATCCTGGGGGACAAGATTGAGGACCCCAATGGAAATAAGTTCGACAGTCCTCGATGACGCACTGACTTTCTTGGGTTATCCTAGGTGGCTAACCCTCCGGGGTTAAAAATCTGAACGAAATCTTATCTTAACTCAAATCCTTTAGATGTAAGCAGAAGACGCTACCGCTCGAGCGATGAACCCCTTTACATACTTCATCGAAGTGGAGGTAAACTTCAGTCCCTTAGATCAAAATCCTTTCACAATTATCAAGGCACCCTCTCCTCCTCCCTTCGTTCCCCTAGATAGGTCTTATGCAACAAAATATATTTTTTTCTCAATTAAACAAACGGATCAATGAAGCTGCATTTCCACTTTCATTGAACCATAGAACATCTACTCTTCAAGAACTGACTAAACTAGACGTGTTTGAGAGAGCCATCCTCCGTATCACTTGATCCCAGCCCATGGTGCCTCAGTGCATGCATGAAGGCCAACACCTGTACCTCAAAACCCACAAGAGACAGAGCATCCACTCATCTTCGGGAAGACCCGGATCCATCAATCTACACAACACCTTCCTATACTTACTTACCAACACCCTCCATTCCATGCACTCGCATCAAACCAGCCCCACTCACTCACCTAAAAGTAATCACCCTTTGCATCCTCTGATGTCCATGTGCTGTACGACCCATGTAGAGTACTTAATATCTTGAAAGAGCTCAAAATTACCAACATCGGAGATTAATCAATGATTACCCTCAGATATCTATATTAGATGCTTATTACCTAATCCATAGTCTTTATGCGGCCCGTTAATGTTTCCTCTTATTTCCTTAACACGGTGCCTATCTACAGGTATTTGTCTGTGTACTTACCAAGTTGTGATTACAGGGGGAACTCTCAGCTCCAGGCCTCTCCTCTTCCTCCCAAACGATGACTTTTTACAGACTAGCTTCTTGGACCCAGTAACACTCATACCTGAAGACACAGCGCTAGCAGACTGCTGCTGTCATTTCATCCGGATCCAGCCACTTCCTAACTGCTCTGGAACTAAAAAATAATTTTTATGTCATTACTGGGCATTTTCGTTTTTAACTCCCCCCTCCCTCTCTATCACCCTTCCTGCCTTTCAAATTTCCTGTCCCTATTTACTCCTAAAAAATGTACAGAGAACCTTCACGGCACGCAAAACTGCGATAAAACACCGCAATTAATGGGAACGCTTGAAGTTCCTCAACCTGTACTCCCTAGAACACAGGCGGGAGAGATACAAGATTATATATACTTGGAAAATCCTAGAGGGATTAGTACCAAGCTTGCACACAAAAATCACTCCCAGCGAAAGCAGAAGACTCGGCAGACGATGCAACATCCCCCCAATGAAAAGCAGGGGTGCCACTAGCACGATAAGAGACAACACAATAAGTGTCAGGGGCCCAAGACTGCTCAACTACCTCCCAGCATACATAAGGGGGATTACCAACAGACCCCTGGATGTCTTCAAGCAGGCACTGGATAGGCACCTAAAGTCAGTACCTGACCAGCCGGACTGTGGTTCATACGTTGGATTATGTGCGGTCATCAGTAACAGCCTGGTTGATCAGGCCCTGATCCACCATGAGGCCTGGTCACAGACCGGGCCACGGGGGCGTTGACCCCGGAACTCTCTCTAGGTATATTCCAGGTATACTAGTCAGCAGAAGTGCAGCATATGAGAACAGTTTCGAGGATTGGCGAAATCAGTTGCAGGAACAAAGTCACGAGGGCGCTCTGTAAGCTATTTAAACTGTACGGTTACTTGTAAGATAAGTAACTACAAGTGGAATATTTAAGGTGTGTTATCAACTGCAGCTAAAGGTCTAAGTTGCTGTTGTAAGGTGATCAACAGATGAAACTGTAAAGTTAACTTGAAGTGAAAATGAATTGTAAACCACAGGTGGAGTCGCGTGAACCACAGGTGGAGTCGCGTGAACCACAGGTGGAGTCGCGTGAACCACAGGTGGAGTCGCGTGAACCACAGGTGGAGTCGCTGAACCCAGGTGAGTCGCGTGAACCACAGGTGGAGTCGCGTGAACCACAGGTGGAGTCGCGTGAACCACAGGTGGAGTCGCGTGAACCACAGGTGGAGTCGCGTGAACCACAGGTGGAGTCGCGTGAACCACAGGTGGAGTCGCGTGAACCACAGGTGGAGTCGCGTGAACCACAGGTGGAGTCGCGTGAACACAGGTGGAGTCGCGTGAACCACAGGTGGAGTCGCGTGAACCACAGGTGGAGTCGCGTGAACCACAGGTGGAGTCGCGTGAACCACAGGTGGAGTCGCGTGAACCACAGGTGGAGTCGCGTGAACCACAGGTGGAGTCGCGTGAACCACAGGTGGAGTCGCGTGAACCACAGGTGGAGTCGCGTGAACCACAGGTGGAGTCGCGTGAACCACAGGTGGAGTCGCGTGAACCACAGGTGGAGTCGCGTGAACCACAGTGGAGTCGCGTGAACCACAGGTGGAGTCGCGTGAACCACAGGTGGAGTCGCGTGAACCACAGGTGGAGTCGCGTGAACCACAGGTGGAGTCGCGTGAACCACAGGTGGAGTCGCGTTGAACCACAGGTGGAAGTCGCGTGAACCACAGGTGGAGTCGCGTGAACCACAGGTGGAGTCGCGTGAACCACAGGTGGAGTCGCGTGAACCACAGGTGGAGTCGCGTGAACCACAGGTGGAGTCGCGTGAACCACAGTGGAGTCGCTGAACCACAGGTGGAGTCGCGTGAACCACAGGTGGAGTCGCGTGAACCACAGGTGGAGTCGGTGAACCACAGGTGGAGTCGCGTGAACCCAGGTGGAGTCGCGTGAACCACAGGTGGAGTCGCGTGAACCACAGGTGGAGTCGCGTGAACCACATTTGGTGTCACGTGAACCACAGGTGACAGCAGAAGACAAAGTGCACACGACGAGTTATTTGTCCTCTCTGACGTATAAGAAAAGTCAGTTACAAGAGACCAAGGGGAAAAAAAATCAGAGAAATGTAAGGAAAAACTATGAAGGGAAGAGTGGTGAATTTGTGACCTGGATGTGAGAAGCGTCAAGACACTCACGGTTTATCTCATGATGTTCGCACGTCTCTTCTTAGTGATAAGTGATAGATTATACTAACAGTATAATTTATTAGGTAAAGATAGTGAAGAGGGTGATGTCCCACAAACATAGTATACTTCAAGAAAAGACAGAAGAGGGCGAGTGCGCCAAAAACCCTACGGAAGTTGTTGTCCAGCAAACTTAGTTAAGGGAGTGATATTCCACAGAGTGACGACGGTGATGTCCCACAAATATCTAGAAAAGGGCGATATCTTGCCAGCATACAAAACCTTTAACTGGTTTTTGTTTCATTCTCCACCGACATGAGGTACCTTCCTGGATCGTTACCATCTACAAGCCTAAAATATGTTGCGGTTTCCATTTTATCTCCATTATTTTTCACTAACTTCATTGGACGCCTCCCTCATTATTTTTGATAGATTCTTATAACCTATCTGCTGCAGTATATGAGCTGTGATACACAAGTCACAGATACTCTGAGATCTGAGCTCAGTATTAACCACGGTGAACTGTATGTCGCAAAACACTGTATGATCAACGTGCAACGTCTGTTACATTATGTGAAGCAACTGATTGTTCTACATATTCTGTATGTTACTGTACTTTTGTGTTTTACTCGACTTCATACATCTTACTGAACTGTTTATACGTTATTATTCAGCTTTTGCATGTTACTGTACTGTTGTTGCAAATTAATGAGCTGTTCTTGTACGTTGCTGAGCATGACTCACGAAATCGTAATGACACGATTGCAAACAAACCATACCACGGGCGGGGATAGAACCCGCGATCAGTGTCTCAAAACTCCAGACCGTCACGGCCACGGTAGCTGGAGATTCGTCTGTAAAAACTTGCATTTGTGGTCACAGTTGTGCCTATGCTAACCTTTCTATGGTGTAGAAATATACCTAGTTGGACGTATCTTAAAGTGGCTAGCTGGTCCAGTGGCTAACGCGACGGTCTGGAGTTTTGAGACACACTGATCGCGGATTCTATCCCCGCCCGTGGTATGGTTTGCTGAGCGTTTTTGTATGTCACTGCATATTTTTTTGCGTCTTACTGTACCGTTTTGTGTATTACTTTACATTTCTTATACATTCATATGCTGTTCCTTTATGTTACTACAATGTTTATGTATGAGAAAGGTTCCAAATACTCTAAACTTCCCTGCTACATCTTTCACATCAGTGTCTCGCATATTGGAATTCTTGTTTCCCAGGATCCCATTGTCTCATCTCTTATTTACCTATGCAATAATAATTCATATAATAAGCACAAGAAACTAATTTTAAGATTTTAAAGAGGTGAACTGGTAAGCCAGTGGAAGGCCTCGGTCAAATGACCAAAAGCTCCTGACGAATCTTACCTAAACAAAAAACATTAACTATGAGAATTAAGCAGACCTGAAGCCTGGCAAGTACGCCATGTTGCTAATATCTCTTACATTGTTGTTTATTTTAATTATTAATTGCTTTCCTACGTTTGTAACTAGCAACACAAGTCATGTCTCGTTAAATTTTAATGTAAGCACTAGCAATTCTTCTTCTATCACAAATCTATCATATACATTATCTGTAATAGAAAAACACCTGCTGTTTAATTCACTTAAATATTTTATAATTCTTTCTGATACTATGTCCTGCTGTTCTGAACTGTATCAGACAAAGTGTGACACTTCAGATGGAAAAAAATGGTATAAAATACAGACAATGGAAATATAAACACATATGCAGTATAATGTGATCCTTTATTGACAACTTTTCGCCCACACAGTGGGCTTTTTCAAGTCACAAACAGATCTACCTGGGGTGGAAGGTATGCGAGTATGTGTTTATATTTGCAGTGTGACACTTCAGCTTCTCTTCGCTAACGAAGAGATTCTTAAAAATATACCCAGAAATAATTGTCGTAATTTCTATAAAATGCTTCAGTAACTACGGCAGTTTCAAAAGTTTCCTTTCAGCAGTGAAAGATATAACGGGTTCATTAGCCATGACAGTGTTAAAGGTTACTTTCCTAAAGAGCTGGAGTCACTTTGGTTACAGTGGCTATGAAGAATATAAATTTACAGTATTTAAAAGATAACGCTAGAATGTGGAAACAAGATAAGTGAAATACACTGGCTAATCTTTAACTTATGAATGGTTAAGAAATAAATAACTAAAAAATCTCTCTTTCTTAGTATCTTTCACATTTACATTTATCTCAGATTCTCAAAAAATCTCTTGATCTCATCAGCTAGAAAATATAATTTACCACCTGATAAGACACGTAAAAGCTACGTTTACCCTCACACTGCCATCACCTCGCTGTCTGCTCTTTACCGACTCTAATTTACCTAAATCAGCTGTTACCTCTCACCCTGCTTACTACTTAATAATCCTGTTATCTCCCTCATGCATACATATACATACTTTTAAACATGCATACATACATGGCTGAAGCTGCTGGAGAGGTATATCCCTCACTCACACATTGGCTGTTTATTCACACAACTCCAAGCTCACACTGACCTAAAAATCAGGTAACACAGCCGGTCAACCTCAAGTGACGTAGCCAGCGACCTCCCCTGCTCGGCTATTAACCAATACAACTAACTCTTAGAACCATTCACATAATTTATAATAATTCAATAAGATAAGGTGCACTTACGTTAATATTTAGGAGAGTTTAATATAGCAAAGATTTAAATTTAACAACAACCATCGTTACCTCAGTTTTTCCAGAGAATTGCCATGTAAACAGATAAACCAAACCAACAAACTCTTGCCAAGAGAGTGTTAACAATAATTAATTCAGCCAGAATCTTGACTACAGAGGATCTGTTGACAAGATAGTGTGGAGTATGACACTAATTTTGTTTTATAGGAAGGAAGAGTGTTAAAAAGCCTTAGTCCCCTCACTTATATTTTTTTTTTTATTTTATTTATAACATACAATACATTAACAAAAGCATACAGTATGAGAACATCGACAGACAATATAAATTCATCAATTTCTATACACTGGAATACGCAGTAATATGTCAAATATATACACTTCATGCAGCTGATAGGTGAATACCGCCATATACATAATTCATTACTACAAAATATAACTATTCAAGTAATACAAAATAAAGAATCCTCTTACTCCTTCCCGACTGCTAATTTCAATATACACACACAATAATTACATGCCGCAAAAAATGCAAGCAGTATAACCCCCCCCCCCTATTTACCCCAGCTCACCAAAATGTACAGCATTTCACCGTTGTTTATTTAACTTATAAACTAACCATACTAAATTAAACTTAAGAACATATTATATTGAAAATAATAAATACTCTACAGTAGTGAAAATGCCAGCTGCTGTCCTAACATTATTTATATATACATATGTATATATATACATTATAAACCGAATTAGTTTACAATGGGAGTCAAATCCTATCTTTATTGCTGTCCCATGCAGCATTCTCAGACTTCTACTTTTATACGCTACTACGATAGACTTCAGCAGAAGGCATTAATTAACAAATATTAAATAACTTTAAGAACGCATGAACTCAGCACTCCCATGCACATCCCAATTACACACAATCGTTCTCTCTTGCACTTATCACTCACCCACGCACATGCACACCAAACCAACATCTTTCGTTTGGCAAGCCCGTTTGGTACCCCCCCCTTTTTTATCGAATGCTTTACACAACAATCTAAAACCACTCCCCCCCCCTCACAACTCTAGCAACTCCCCAACAGTGATGGACTTGTAACCCTCAGTTAGGTTAGGGTAGGTAAGGTTCGTCAGGAAACAGGACAAATGTTTCCTGACGCGGGTCTTAGTCAGATGATGACCCGCCTTTGGAGCTTTTGGTCATCTGACCGAGGCCTTCCGCTGGCTTACCGGTCCACCCCTTTAAAAATTATGGTCATTTATAACCATTGTTTTTTTTTATGTAACCCTCAGTGAAATCTCCCTCCCATCTCCTCCCATAAATTTCCCGATTCCTATTCATTGTCCTACAAAAAAACCTCACTAAAACTCGTTTCCTCGTCTCCCCATTATCCACCCCTCTCATTCCCCACGATATGTACACGAAATCCACCATGATATAAGCTACTCCCCGTGCCACATTCTCCCCCACCCCCCTTATATCAAGACTCAGCGCTCTCAACACTGACACCCCAGTTCCTCCTATCCTCCTGACCGCTTTCCCCAGCCATTCCCTCACACTCCCCAAATAATCGCAAAAGTATACCACGCGATAGGCTGTCTCCAACTCCCCACATAACCCACACCAACCCTCCTCTATGACACGTCTATTTCTGAGGACTGATCCAGTAGGCAAAATCCCGTGTAAAAATTTAAACATGATCTCTCGCACCCTGGGCCCTAGCTTTAGTTTACCGAACAGACTCCATATAGTGCCCCATGCATACATCGGGAACAGCCCCTCAACTGGGGCCGTCTCCTCTACCCTCAATATTCGATATAAATCCCTCGCCTTTAATTTGTCTTGCTCGCGCGCCCACAAAAGTGCCCTCAACAAAATCTCACACTCCCTCCATTCCCCACCCACATACATTCCCCTCAAAATATCATGCAACCTTTGCATGCATGTCCCCCTCTGTCCCCCTAATCTTTTCCACTCCCACCTGACGAAAATGCATTTCACCCTCCTTCCCAGGTCCAACAAACCTAAACCTCCCTTCCTCACCGGCAAAGTCACCACCTCCTTCTTCATCCATTCACATCCTGAGCCCCATAAGAACCTTAAAACACTTCTAAGGATACGAGTAATCTCAGCCCTCAGCAATGGAAAAACTGCTGCTACATACCATACCTTACTGTACAGCAATACATTAATAACAATTGCCCGTTGCAATAATGTCAAGTGATAAGGCCGTAACATCCCCAACCGATGTTCCACGCGTTCCACCATTCTCAACGAATTCCACGCGTTCCACCATTCTCAACGAATTCTCCTCCCTAGCCTCCCGTATGGTCGCTCCATACAAAATGCCACATATTAATAACTGCCCTTCCTGCCTTCTCACCACATCACAGCCCCAATCAACTCTCTCCACTTCCCTAGCCCCATGATCTTTGTTTTCTCAACGTTTACCATCATGCCTGTCGCCCCTCCAAACATGCCAACCACCCCTCCCAGCTCTCTCAATCTTGTTCCCTTCCGGACTAGGAGTGTCGTGTCATCCACATAACCTACCACATGATGCCTAATCAAGCCCTCCCTCGACCCCTCCCCCCCACACACTCTGGTCTCAACCAACCTATAAAATGGATCTTGCACACATGCAAATAATAACTGTGATAGCGGGCAACCCTGCCTCAAGCCCCTATCCATTTTCACCACACCTCCCACACGTCCATTGATCTGAATTCTCGCTTTTGCCCCTTTATACAACGTTTCAACCCACCCCACAATCTCATCCCCAAAACCTTGTTTGCTAAGGATCTGTCTTAAACCCTCCCTTTCCACCTGATCATAAGCACCCTGCCAATCAATCGCCACCATACCCCCAACTTCCTGCATCCCCTCAAAACTCTCAACAAACCCCTTTAGAATTCAGTGCCCCATGACCATCGACCGTCCTGGCAACCCTAGTTGACCTTTTGAAACTACACGTCCCACTACACATTTTAACCTATTCCCCAAAATCTTCGCGAACAATTTATATTCCGCACACATGAGAGTAATTGCCCTGTAATCCTTAAGTGTACTCTGCCCCTTACCCTTAGGCACAAGCACAATGACCCCTGTACTTTGCGTCTCGCCCAGTTCTCCCCCGTCTTTCATTCTATTGAACAGCGTTACTAAAAAACCCCTTAACAGATCCCAATGTTTTAAGTAAAATTCACTTGGTAGTCCATCAATACCTGGTGCTTTGTCTCTGCACATGTCTACAAGCGCTCTCCATATCTCCCCCTCTTCAATCTCACCACCCAAAGCTTCCCTGTCCTTTCTCCCCAGAGCTACGGGCTCTACAGCACACACCCCATCAAGATCCTCCCTATTAACTCCTTTACTTTTCCAATAATGCCCATACCACGCATCCGCGAACATACTCATCCCCTCCATTGTTTTTAACACCTGCCCCTCCCTAAAACCTTTCACCTCAGTGTGCATTTCCAAATCTGCTATTGTGGTCGCTGTCCTCCTCTGCTGTTGTCTCCTCAACACACATGCTGATGGCTTGTCCCCCCAAAGCACTTCCTCCACACCCACCTGCACCCGCACCGCATGAAATCTCTCCTCCTGCACCTCTCTTAACCTGCTCTTCAGATCATCTATTGCCTCTGTTTGGAATACTCCTCCCACCACTCCTTGCTCATGATAGTATCCTATTCTACTTTCCAAATAATTTGTTAATCCATACTTCAGTCGATTTGTACGCTTCCCCTCACCCACGTAAAACCTACAAATCCTCTCCTTGGCCACACTGTCCCACCAACGTACAACATTATCAACCCTTTTTGCCTCCTCACTTAGCTTCCTCCACAATGAAGCAAATCCCACCTCCACTTCCTCATCCTCAAGGAGTCGCGTGTTTAATTTCCAGTAGCTTTCAAACCGTTTCACTAACGAATCCCATGCCACCCCCACCACCACTGCCCTGTGATCTGAATAAATTGCTTCTATAGTGTTAAAAGACTCTACTGAAACCCCTTGTGTTACATAGATCCTATCCAGTCTAGCTGCGTATTCCCTCCTTACATACGTATGTTGCACTTCACCTATTCCACCCCAAAATGCATCTCGTACCCCAATATCTCTACACAGATCTCGCAACACGTTTGAAAAATATCCCGCCCCTGCTGGCATCACATCAAATCTCCGTATTATACAATTTCAATCTCCCCCAATCAATGCAACCCTGGGCAGCACTCTCAAGAAATACACCAGATCATCCCTTACAAATGCCGATTTTACCCTCACATCGTTCTCCACCAGAGCATACACTCCAACAAAGGACACGCGTTCACGCATCCACCACCCATCCACTCTCATTATTCTACCCTCACCCCCCCCCTCAAACCTTTACAAAACAAACGGGCTTGCCTCACGAATTAAAACACCTACTCCGCCTTTTAAACGAGTCGTTGGCATTACAAAAGCCCTATATCCATCCACCTCCAGCAATTTTCCTGCTTTCAAGTTATGCTCTTGTATAAAGGCAACATCTACCTTGTAATGATACAGCAGTCCTCGCAACCATACACACTTACCACTCTTACATAAACCATTAACATTAATTGTCATACACCTTAGGCCTGCTTACATTTTCCACCCACTTTTCCCCACCACATTTTTCCGCTGTCCAGTAGCCTCATACACACCGTCCTTGGCACTCACCCCACCCCCTCCACTCCTAACCCCTTGCTGGTGTTTCTTTTTCTCTGTGCCTCTACACACACCTTCAATCCCCTCCTTTTTCCCTGGTCTTTGTGCTGGAGTGAGGACGTCATCCGAGTCAGACGTGACAGCTGCCCGCTTCCTCGACACTTCCTCTTCCGCCATGCTTGTCTCCTGACCTTCCTCATTGTGCACCTCCACCTCTATCAC